ACAGGGTATATCACTCATCTTTTTCCAGTTGGTGTAGTCCTGTGTACAGGTTGGATTTCTACTCATTCACAGAAATGATGACTTTCAAAGTAGTTGAATAAGTTACGAAGAGATCCTCAAATCCTACCCCTATCCAAGATGCCCCAAGTCTTGCCAGTTAGATCTTTCCCTAAAAAAACTCCAGCTAAATTTTATTACAGCCGAAGGTAAAAATAAAAAAAAAAAATAAGTCCATTTGTATTTAAAATTAACTAAACTATGGATTAATCCTCACAATCATAAAACTGGAAGTAGGCATGCAGACAGGGATAAGACAAAATTCAGTGCATCCATGCCCCCAGGCACAAGTACTCAACACTCTCTGAATGTGAAGTCATTTATGAAGTCCTTTACAACATGCAGTCAAAGAGGTTAATTGAAAAATTTCTTAATGTCATTATGAAAGAACTAGATTAACCCAAGTTAATTCACTTTATTGTTCAAAATAAAGAGGAATAAGCATTGAACTCACTTGCAAATTTGGGGCATGAATTAGGGGTGAGATGTTGTCTTTAAGGACTCTGCCAGTTTAATTAAGATATGGAAAATTACTTATTGTTCTTCACCACTAAAGTGCTAGGAATTAACAGCCAAATGTGATGCCTGTGCCTTTCATATCTCTACCATGTGTTTGTTTGTTTAATACCCATAAGACTACATCATTAAACCTCAAGCACTGATTTCACTAATTCAGCACGAGAGCTACATGCTACAGCAGCAAACACCTTTTCGAGTCAATCATAATTGAACAGCTGGATGTAAAATGCAGTATTATTTTTGACTTCAAACCACAAGCCCTGTTTTCCTCCAAAACAAAATACCTTCCTATCTTTGTAATACATCCACTAAATATAGTGGGAGTACATGGAGAGCGTGTGACGTATTTTATCCACTTTATCGGCTCCTCGTAATTATAGGTGCTACAACTGCCAACATCACTGCACTTCTCTTGTCTTAGTGAAACATAACGCAGGTTGTTTGTTTTCCTCTAGGAAGTATTACTTAAGAGAGCAGCAGACCTTGTTGAAGCCCTATATGGGATGCCCCATAACAACCAGGTAGGTCACCAACGCGGTCTTTGTTCCCATGCTGACATGTGTAGATCAATACCTGCTCTTTGCAGAGCTGGCAGAGCATCAGCATGTTCCCTTTGTACACAGCCGGGCTTTGCCAGCCACCTTGAGGGCAGTCTGATGTGATGCAATGCTCCGAGGGAAACGCTTCATCTTCCCCTTCTCCTCTCGCCGCTCGTTTGCCCATCAGAAATGACAATTAAGTGTAAGGTGCCAAAAGCATAAGCAAGCATTAAGGCAAGAGAATAACCTTGAACTCGGGCCAAAATATACAGTGACTAATGGGAAGTCCTAAAGAAATCTGCTAAACTGAGCGGATCAGACCTACCGTATTTTGCAAACTGCTGAAAATACATCTCCCGCCCTGAGTGAATAAAATGTGTGTTGGGATTTTGACTCGACTTCCAGTGCTAAAATCTGATTTTATGTTAATTTCTTTATTTCTTTATACTTACTGTGCTGAGGTGGAATTGCATGTAGGGAGAAAAACAGGAGGTGTTGTTGAAACACGCAGCAAACTCTCCGCCCTCACTATAATTCCACCTGAATCTCTTTGATAAACTTTAGCATTATTGCAACTTGGGCTATTTGCGCAAATCAGCGTCTGAGTTGTCAGAGCCTCTTTTCTGTCTTTCCAGGAGATAATCCTGAAACGAGCAGCTGACATTGCCGAGGCGTTGTACAGCGTGCCCCGCAACCACAACCAGATCCCCACTCTAGCCAACACTCCCGCTCACACCGGCATGATGGGGGTGAACTCCTTCAGCAGCCAGCTCGCCGTCAACGTCTCCGAAACATCACAAGCCAACGACCAAGGTAGGTGGGATTTCAAGAGTTAATCCTCCACCTTGGTGACTGCTTTTGGCCAGTGCCATCAATCCGAGCTGATGTCACTGCCGTGTCCTATCTCTTTCTCTCTCCCTACTCGTGTGTCTGAAATGCCGTCTTTAACTTTCTTGAAATATTTAATTCTTTCTGTTCTTTCATTTACTGTTATCATAAAGCATCTCTAGCGGGGGAAAAAAATACAATTGGCAAAGTGTAGAAAGCTCTTTGTTATTCGCAGTAAATATACAACGTGTATGGTTTTTTTTTTTTAATATAAAATAATTATGTCTAGGTACCTCCACCTGGTTTTGGAATATTTACACAGATAAATCTAATTTGATGTCTGTGATTTTAAAATACTTTGTTTGTAGGCATGTGTGACATATATGTTACTAATAAAAGTAATAGTTGATTTAATTTACCTGTTGTAATTGAAAATGCATGTAGCATATTGCATTTAAAATTAATTTTGATACTAATGAAAGGAGGGAAACAGGATTATTAGATATGTTCAAACGCATATTTTTTTTTTGCTTGCAACATAATTATTAAATTGATTGCTCAGATAGGAACAAATTGTTGTTTAAAATCCTGATTCTGCTATGTTTCCTCTTCTAAAAAGATTGTCTTTTAATGCATTTCCAAGCTAATAAGCCTTATAAAATTCTGTACTTGCTCTTGAATTAGTTTTCACTGATGGCTACACCTTATGAAAGCTTGTTGTTAGCATAAAAATATCAATCACAAAATGAAGACCCCAAAACAGCCTTTTAAAGTAAATCACTGCAACAAAAAAGTTTTTCTTGTCAGCTCTGGCATTTGAAGGTCTGGAGAGGCTGAAAGTTCACGCAGTGTGTTGGTACAAAGCGGGACTTGAGCCTGTTGATAATTGCTCCTAAAGACAAACGTGAAGGCACCTGACACAGCTGGATCGAAGAGAGCTTTTGTTGGCTGTCTGTGCTAAGAGGAGAGACAACATAGAGTGCTCGCGGATGATTTAAGTAGGGTTGGCGTGATAAGGTTATCTCAAGCTGCAAGAGTTGATAGGGCAGTGAGAGACAACTCAGAGCAAAGCTGTGCAATCAATTAAAACTGTGTAATATATGCTGCATGAGGAAACCCCCCAGCCCTAAGTCTATCTTATAAAATAACATTATTTTTTTGGGGTGGGGGGGTTTCTAACACAGTAGGTTACAGTCGCAACACAAGCAGTGTTTCCCCGCGAGGATATGTTCCCAGCAGTACTCCTCAGCAGTCCAATTACAACACAGTCAGCAATAGCATGAATGGATATGGCAATGCCGGCATGCCCAATCTAGGTGTACCAGGTTCCCCTGGATTTCTTAATGGCTCCTCAGCTAACTCTCCTTACGGCAGTAAGTGTCTATTTTTGGTAACACATCATCATATAGATTCATATTTACTACCAAATCAACTCCTTGCATTGTTTTGATTTTCCTCTATTGTCAGCTACTGGATAAAAGGAGGGGTGACTCTGGAGGCTGGACGTAAAAATGAAAATAATAAATTGATCTGTTTTGTGCCAGAATACAATCTCAGATAGAGAAAAAAATAAACCAAAACAAAACAAAAAAAAAATGAGACAAAATAAAAATTGGACTGCGCAATTCGTAACAAAAGTCCAACACAAAAGAGTTTGCCTGTTATCCAGAGAGTGGCCAAGCCAAGGCATTTCATTTTTATTTTTTTATATATATTTTTTTTATATATATATATATATATATATTTCTATATATATTTTAAGAGGCAAGGCCCTATCACTCTCTTTTTCCGTGTTTGCCGTGAAAACCTCAATCTGAGTCCTGATTATTTTTGCTTTATTGCAGTAGTGCCGTCAAGCCCTACCATGGCAGCCTCTTCGGTCACCCTCCCTTCAAACTGTAGCAGTACACACGGCATTTTCTCATTCTCACCTGCCAATGTCATCTCTGCAGTGAAACAAAAGAGCGCCTTCGCTCCTGTTGTCAGGCCCCAAGCCTCTCCTCCACCATCTTGCACCAGTGCAAATGGAAATGGACTTCAAGGTGAGCTGGATCTCTCTCAATTTTCTGTGTATTGCCTTTTTTTTTTTTTTTTTTGATGCATACACTCAAGCCCTGATGGTTTCTTTGGGAGAAAGGTACCTGGTTGATTTTTTTTTGGGTTCCTGGTGCTCTCGTAGCGATGCAAAAGCAGGGGGAGAAATAAGGTAGCACGAATGGTCTGCTGAGATCTTTAGTTCATTTTTAATACTTGCATTAGAGAAAGCACTAGCTGTTTTTCTGGTATTTTCCCTTAGGAGTTCATGACTTAAATTTTAAAGGAATACTGTATCCCTGAATGCCTCTTGGAGGGTTCATGTACTCCGTGTGTTTATATGTTTTTTGAACACATTTCTGTGGATGTTTAAATCCAGCAGCATTCTGGCAGGACATGGTGTGATTTCCTTGTTTTACATAGGGTGCAATAGTGATTTCAAATATGTCAAGTTAATATAAATCAGGTTAAGCTCTCAGTCAGTGAACTAACCTTCCCCTGGACTAGGTAGCCCTGTATGCAGGGGGTTTGCATGCTCCGGTGGTCCCAGCTCGCTCTCTTACTGTGGTGTTAGAGTGGTTACATCCCTAAGTGAACTGAATATTTAATTTAAGGCAGGCAATTTTAATAATTTGCTTTTTTGGTACTTTTTTTTCTTTTTAATCCATGTGATTTTGTGTGGGTAGTGCAAGGAACAACTTATAAGCCACTTGCAGAACTCTCGTGGTTATCTGCTGGGAGTGGGGCAGGAGGAACTACAATACAGTGTATGTTTGGTAGAAGAACAAAAATATGAACAAAGTCTTCCCAAAAAGGAAGACTTAGGTCCTACTGTACCACTTTTAAGTCATATTGTAACATTTAGAAGATAAGACTATAGATGGATTAGAATAATTTGAATGTTTACCTGTGGTTGAGTCTCATTGTGCAGTAAATTGGAGCACTTCAGATCCCATTGAAATCAGGAAGGCTTGAGGACACTCATACCCCGGAGGTCATCACTCCTCTTGACTTCTTCAGTTAAGAATTAGCAGTACAGTGTTATTTATTCTTTGTATTACCATGGATACAATGAGTGCTCACAGGCGAACAGATGACAGATATTTTAATTTGCCAAACAAATTCTGAACACCTGCATTTTGTGGGATCTGAAGGCACTTCAGAGAGACATAATCCCAATCCCACAGAACTGTCTGTCCACCACAAATCCAGACCATTCCAGACCAAGATCTCAAAACTAATGTTTCTGTAGCTTGTTATTCACTTCTTGGCCCAAAAAACCATATGAGAGCTTGTTATGCACTCAGGTCAAGGAAGAGCTGAGGATTCAGCTATGCAAAATTATTGTGGGATGAATGTTAAAGAAAAGGATAATTAGATTAACAGTTTCTTTCATATTTCTTTACTGGAAGCTTCACTATGTTACTACTGTAAGGAGAAAACTATATTGATATTCTTAGAAAGAATAATCCATTAATAAAATAATCTGGTGTCCTACTTTCCTCTTTCTGTAAAAAGACACTACTATGAAAAGTAAATACTGAAATAATATAATGAAAAATAAAATCTTAAAAATAAAATAATAAACTAAAATAATAGAAATAAAAGATAATAATAAAATTAATAAAATAATCAATTAAAATAAAATATTATAAATGTGGTAACATGACAGATCTGAGGCAACTGCTCTATAGCAGATATTTATATATGTATTCATATTAACATGTTGATTGTGATTTACTCTGAAAAATACAACTATTTAAACATCTAAACTAAAATGATCTGAATTTCTGTAATTTCAGTATGTAAATACAGGGCTTCTCATCAGATAGGCAAGGGTTTAGGTGCTTAAAAACACTAGATTACTGCAAAGTGTGGTTTTAAGGAGAACAGGGTGGGCTGAATGCCTGTGCCAAGCACCTAATGTCCCTTGGGCACCTCCCCAAGCCTTTAAAAATTGTACATCTCCAGCCTCAAGTGCAAAATGTTTCATACATAAAGCTCAGAAAATGGCTTTGAAACAGCCAATACTGATTTTGTTAACTAGGTCATCAATTTAACTCTTAGGCTGAGCCCAGCCTTTCTCTGGACTAAGCTTTTTCCACGGCCAGACAGCCCACTGAAGACTTAACAATGCCACTAATCCCTGATTTTAGGATGCTGCAGTCCAAACAGCAGACCTGGTGTCATCCTTTTGGATTTTGGTTCAGCAGCCAAACTGAAAATAAATAGAAGTGTTGAAAACAAACAAGGAAACAAACATTTGCCATTTTTTCCTCGACTGGCTGAATGGAATCATTTTGTGTTGAGCAGAATGACACAGAGAAATAGGGAGAATGTCCTTCTGGTCTGGTAGTTAGAGCAGTGAGTTGTGGTAACTAGAGCAGGGTTGTGACAAAAAGTTGAATTGTTCATGCAAAGTAGCACCACAAAGTGATGCTCAGTGAATTGTGAGGAATTCAGGAATTACAGAGCATCATAGAATCCTGGGATGGGTAGGGTTGGAAGGGACCTTAAAGACCATCTAGTTCCAATTTAGGGCAGAGATGCTTTCCACTATCCCAGGTTGCTCCAAGCCCCGTCCAACTTGTCCTTGGACACTTCCAGGGATGGGGCAGCCACAGCTTCTCTGGGCAGCCTGTGCCAGGGCCTCACCACCACCTCACCTCACTCAGGTTCTTTCAAAGCAGAGGCAACATCACTTCTCCCAGCCAAAACTATTGAGTTAATTCAGACTGAACTCACAAAAGGTTTCAGGTTGACAACACATTTTCCTCACAGATTTCAACCACTGCCTTGAACTGAACTGCTGCCAGAACTGAGTGGCAAGACAGGGATGAATTTGTCATCTTCCTTCATGAGATATAAAGAAAAGCCACCAACACTCCTGTGTTGGCACTTATTTATACTGCATTTGACCCATACAGTTGTTTAGGGAATTTCTGTTTTTTTCCTATTTTCTTAGTCATTTATGGACATTGAGCTCTTTTTAAAGTTTCTTTCTGGACACTGTGCAAACAGCTTGAGAGTTATCTGATCAGCACATTTTCTATATTAAGTTAAAATTTGGAATTTAAGAGCTGCAGTCCAATGCAGCAGAAGTTTTTTTTGTGATCTTGAAGTACAGTCTCATTACAGAGGAGGATGTAAAGGAGCTGAGTGGCAGCTGAAGAGTCTGCACTGTTAGAAATGCTCACACACATTTAGTCAACCCAAAAGGGAAGAGCTCGTGGTCACTGTTGTTGTATTGGAGGTAAATCCTTCAGTTTATGGATAAGGCAGGACATGGATAAGAATGGATAAGAATACAGACACAGGTGGTCCTTTTGCAGGGATCTGGGGGTTAATTGCACTGATCTTTGCTGGGTAAACCATCCCAGGATGTGTCTATGTGTGGGAAAAATGCTGTTCTTGGTACACCTAAGATGGTGAGAACACAGGAGCAGAGCTATGAAGCTCCAGCTGGATCTGAGGGAGATATTTTTGTCTCCTAACAAAGTATAAAGCAGAGGTTGAGCTGTTCTACCTCCTGGCTTATACTAACATCACCCTAAGCATCAGGACCACCTGAGCCCTCTGCACTAGAAGCAAGATCTTGCTACCAGGAAGCACGACCCCAAAACCCACTGCACTGTAGGACCCACTGCCCAAGAGGGAACATGGCCTTTAGCCAACAGATTTTTTTCTAAAGAGATCCAAGACACCTGCTAGTGGAAGGTGTCCCTGCTCATGGCAGGGGGTTGGAATGAGATGGTCTTTAAGGTCCCTTCCAACCCAAACCAGTCTGTGATTTTACAAAGACAGAGGTTAAGAATAAAAACAAATAAGAAAGAAGACAATCTGGGGAGATCTCAGAGGGGTCAGAGTGCAGGCCATGACAGCCAGGGCTGATGTGTTGTCTTCCCCCTTGCTGCACCCATGTCAGCTGCACATCCATCCCCAGCCAGCGAGTACCTGATCAGGGTCAACACTCAGAAGCTGCAAATCACAGAGGAGAAACCTCTCTCTCTGTTGTCCCGTGGCCATGACTCACTCCTGTGACTAAGTCTACAAAAAAGGGCCTTTGGGCCATATCCAAAAAGCCACAATCTTGTTGACTCCCTATGGCCTCCATTGCATAATCTGTGATCACAAAGTCAAGTACTCACATACTTTTTTAAGAGCAGGATCCTACTGTATGTGTTCCTTTGGGCAGAGAGCCTTTTCCTGTTTAAAACAATGGACATCTAAGGTATAAAATATTTTTTTTTAGTGAGAAATTGCTGGCTCCCTGCAAAGTTGGAAGTACAATATATGTTCAAAATTTGGTTTTCAATTGTAATTTACTTTCTATAGATTGTGAAAGATATTGCTCTCTGGTTATAGGACTGTAATGCAGAGCAGAGGGGTCTCTATATTCTTTTTAAATTGCATCCTGCTTAATTTTCTGGTCTTTCCCTGGATGAAAGTATTAAAATTATTATTAAAAAACTAGCCAGCTCATTTTTCTTTAAGAAGGCATTTGGTATCAATTTGCACAGCAGGAAGCGCAGCGCAGAAATTCACAATTGTCAAATGCTGCCACTAAAAGAACAGTGAAATAAATGTCTGGAGCACCAACCTTGCACCCCCCTCCCATTGTGCCACAGGGAGAATTCAACAAAAATAGTTAAATTAAAAAATTTAGACTTCCTCCCCACGCCCCCCCCCCAAAAAAAAAGCATGCAGCAGATAATCTAATTTTTCACACAGTAGAATCATAGAATCCCAGAGTGGTTTGGGTTAGAAGAGACCTTAAAGACCATCCAGTCCCACCCCCTGCCATGGGCAGGGACACCTTCCACTATTCCAGGTTACTCCAAGCCCCGTCCAACCTGGCCTTGGACACTTCCAGGGATGGAGAAGCTGATGGTGCTATTGCAGCATGGACTTGGAGGACATGGTTGAGTGGTGAACATGGTGGTGGTGCTGGTTGATGGGTGGACTGAATGATCTTGAAGGTCTTTTCCAGCTTTAATGATTCTGTGAGTCTATGATAACATCTCAAGATGATCTCCAGCATCCTCCAGTTCAAGTGCACACCAGGTGACCAGACTGATGTGGTGACAGGTTTCCTGCTGACTGAATCCCATCGGAGAAGCCAACCTGAGAGTAGGGGTTTGGCAGGTCCAAACACAGGGCAAGGTCATCTGCTGGCCTGGGCTGATGCAGTGTGGAACAGACATTTAGTGAAGGGTTGTTTTAAGGGTTCTTTAAAAGGTGGTCAGGCATTGGAAAGGGCTGCCCAGGGAGGTGGTGGAGTCCTCATCCCTGGAGGTGTCCAAGGAATGACTGGATGTGGCACTCAGTGCTCTGGGCTGGGTGACAAGGTGGGCATCAGGCACAGGGTGGACTCGATGGGCTGGGAGGGCTTTTCCAACCTCAGTGATTCTTGGGTTCTGTGAAAACATGATGAAGAAACTAAATGTTTAGGATCAGAAGGGTCTCTGCCAATATATGCACTATTCTCCAGTTAAATTTTGTAAGTTCACTTGCTGTTTAGCTTTAAAACATTCAGTATTATAAAAAATGCAAAATTATAACTTCAATTTCAACATATTTGTTACATGTAATTGGGGAAAAAAGTGGTAGAGTTGGAAAACTTCAACCCGTTTCAAGGGCATCACTTGAGCTGTGCTTTAGAGAACGTCCCATCCAAATCCTTCCCAAAAATGGTGCCAGAAGGATCAGGACTGCTCAGGACTCTGGGTGCATCTGTTGGAGCAGCGCTGATGGTGCAGACCATGCTGCTGCAGGAAGTTGTGTCACCTATGAAATGTGTATGGACCCAGCTCTTCCAAACCATAAAGCTGTAACAGCGAATCAGAAATAAATTAATATTGTTGAAATTAATGAACTGAGAAATTGAAGTTCACATCACTACACGAACAAATTTATTAATATCTGTTGTACATAAATTAATGAGAAATATCACTACAGCAAAAATTAAACAACACTAAAATTAAAGACTGTCTAGATTATGTTTCTACCAAAGAGTTAACTAGGAAAAAAAGCAGTGGTTGTTGGCATATCAGTCTTTATCTGGTAAAAAACTGGATATGGCTGGTCTGGGCTACTGATAGAATCACAGAATCACAGAATATGCTGAGTTGGAAAGAATTCACAAGGATCATCGAGTCCAACTCCTGGCCCTGCACAGGACCATCCCCAAGAGTCAGACCCTGTGCCTGAGGGTATCATCCAAACGCTCCTTGAGCTCTGTCAGCCTTGGTGCTGTGACCACTGCCCTGAGGAGCCTGTTCAGTGCCCAACCACCCTCTGGGGGAAGAACTTTCTCCTGATATCCAACCTAAACCTGCCCTGTCACAACTTCAGGCCGTTCCCTCGGGTCCTGTCACTGTGTTTTTATGGCATTTGAGCTCCAGAGTTGGGAGGAGGTGTAGGGTCCTTGGCTTTGGTCTTGGAGAGTTCTTGGCCGCTTAGTCCTGCTTTTATCATAAAGTAGAATCGTGGAAAAGGAGGTTTTCTGCCCAGGTGCAAGTCTGGGCATGAAGTGATGGTTAGAGGGGATGTCCCCAAGGAATGGTGTTATGGTCAGGAGTGCTGTCGGGAGCCTGGAGAGCTGAGCACAGGAATCAGGGTGCCCTTCCCTCAAAATCCTGCTCAGAGCCTCCTTTCCCAAGGAGAAGCCCTTTGTTTTGCTATGAGAGGTGCGTGTCCCTTGGTCCAAGGGTGATGTGGAGGAACCTGGCTCTGCATCCTCCGTTTGAGCATCGCGATGGCTTTGAACCAGCTGTGCCTTCCCCCAGTTGTGACAATAACGGCTCCTTTTTCTTCTCTTTTCTCTTTTAGCCATGTCCGGGCTTGTAGTCCCGCCAATGTAAAGTCACTTTTGTTTACCTACCGTAGCACCAAGCTGCAGAGGATGGGCTTAGGGGACAAGTTTAGTATATTAAGACATGCTGATGGAAGCAGTATCTTCACGCAGAATCAGCAACAAATCGAAATGCTACAGGAAAAAAAAAAACAAACAAAAAAAAAAAAGAAAAAAAAAGACTTTGTTTAAAGATTTTATTTAAACTATTAAGAATCTACATGCAAACAACCTACTTCTTCATGAACAATTCCATTTTATTGACTGAATTTTTCTCATATTTTCACATTTCTCAGTCCTGGAGAATAAGGAAAAAGCGACGCCTATTTTGTATAAAGTTTCTGATTACGTCTTGGCTATGTCTAGTACTTGCTATGTGTTGGGAGAAACTTTGTGGATGCACCATTTTGATTATCATGAAACACTGATGAAAAATGCCTCCGAACATTTTTCTGTACTCATAACTAGATTCACAATGGTTGTGTATCTCTATAATGTGAAATATTTTTTTGTGGTGGAAAAAAAGGGGGCCAAGGAGGTTATGAGCCATCAAACTGGAAAAAAAAAGAATAAAAAAAAAATAAGGATGAATATATGATTAGAAAAAAAAAAACCACACAAAAAACCGGGGCGCGGGGGCGGGCACGGGGGGGTTTATCGTTGCTTAACTTCATCTTAATGAAATGGAACTTTGTAACTTATTGTAGTTAGAAATTGTAACTTTGATATTGAATTCTCTTGCCTTCAACAAGCACACTGACAGAGAAAAAAAAAAAAGAAATTGCTACTGTCTGTTGGTTTAAAAAATGAAAAAAATATACTTCCACTGCTAGAGCTTCCTGTTAAGCAAGTGTGATCTGCAACATTTTTTCAACTTTTGCTAGCACTGTATACTATTGCATTTTAGGCTACTGTGAAGTCTATGTTTCTTGTACCAGAAAATTGTCCTTTTGACTTCTAGATCCTTCTTCCCTAATGTGTTTTGTATGTGGTTATAAAATTGTAGACTTTTGTGATTTTGCCAAAGTTGTAGCTAAATATTTATACACTTGTCTTGAATTTTTTTCAGATCCACTTAAATATTTAGAAAACAAAAAGCAGATTTTATTCCTTATGGAGGCTATAAGGAATAAAATAGTCTTACCCATTGCAACACTTTCTTTCACATAAACACTTGCAGTCACTAAGGGAATTTATTTTGTAACATATCAACTATAAATATTGTATTTATCTTTGAAATTTTGTATATTGCTTTTCATAATTTTTTTTTTTTTATGTTCCTGTATGTATTGGTTTTTGTCCTGGCCTGGTATCGTGATGCTGAAAAAAGCATTAAGCCAAGAACCATTGCCTTCATGTTTTTCTTTTAAATAAATGAGTGTCCGTGCATTTCATTTGTACTTCATAAAGTTGCTATTGTTTAGCCTTTCCATCCTTTATTTCTTTATTATTTTTTTGAGGAAAAGTCAAATTCATTGTTTATTTTTATATTATTTTTAAGTTATCAGAACAAATAATTTTGAAAAAAAAGTCGTTCGTTGTATAGTCAAATCAAAATTGTGCCACATGGCTGTAATGAATACTAGTAGAATATGTGCATGTGATACAGCCACAGAAAAGATGAATCTATTTTGTGGTTGCATTTTTTATTTCCTATTTCTGTTTGTTTG